GTTGAACAGTAAGAAGGGATTCAGAAAAAAACAATATCGAGTTTCAATTTATATAAACCATCACTAAGAAAACCAGAACCATAAAAAATAGCATTCTTATATAAATTGAAACATCCATTTCCAAACTTTAAATCAAATCCAGAAATATCAAGTCTTGAAAGAGAAATCAAATTCCTAGAAACCGAAGGTACATAAAGAATCTGTAATAGATCAAGGTGACGTCCAATCTCCATGATCAAACGATAAGTCTCTATGCCTTCAATTGGAGCCTTCATACGATTTCCCATGAACAAAAAATCCTTATTTGGATTTGTAGTTTGGATCGTAAGGAATCCCTGCAACATAGTAGATACATGAGCAGTTGCACCAGAATCAAGCCACCAAGTATTATTAGGAACTTCTACTAAATTTGATTCGAAACATACAAAAGCACTAATTGTACCTTTCTTTTCGAACCAAGCTTTACGTTTCAGGCAATCTTTCTGATAGTGTCCTTCCTTATTACAAAAACGACACGTATCTGCCTCATGTTCCTTGTTAGCATCCTGTTGAGCTTTAGCAGGTACTTTCTTCTTCTTGAACTTGTTGGCCTCACTTTAAGTCCTTTACCAGCTCATTGACCCATGAGGTTGATTGAATGACTTCCTTGTTTCTTAAGTCTTGACTCCTCCTGAGTAAGCATACTGGACAATTCACTAACATTCCACTTATCCTTAATAGTGTTATAGTTAATTTGAAAAGGTCCATACTCAGAAGGTAACGAGTTCAGAATAACCTGAACCAAGAAGGAGTCATCCACTTTCATCCCCAAGGTCCGAAGTCTTGCTGCAATGTTAGTCATCTCGATGATATGGTTTTACATACTACGCAAACCATCAAACTTCATGGTCGTGAGTTCAGCCATTAGTGTACCAGCAAGAGATTTATCTGCAGAACGAAAATGTTCTTCCACAAACTTCAGGTATTCCCTAGCACTTTCTGTTTGTGGAATAGTACTCTTAATGTTATTAGCAATATTCACTCGCATAAACATAAGGCTTAGCATGTTAGAACATTCCCATGCTTTATGGAAAGATTTCTCATCCGCACTGCTCGAATCAGTAATGGCAGCGGGCTTATCATTCAGCAGAGCCAAGTCAAGATCTATCACACCTAAGTGAAACTGGACTTGTTCATGCCATTCAGAGAAGTTCAATCCGTTGAACACAGTAACAGACGAAACAAACGAATTAAAAGGAATAGCTACAAAATAGATAATACATGCTCACAAATCAATATGGATTCAACAAAATAGTTAAAGTATATCGCAGTTCTCCTTTGGGTAAATACTACGATACACTATCATAATTTAAATGTCATTTAGTTTTTAATAGGTAATTAAATATTTTTAACCAAATATATATGCCATCTTTGGACATACAATATATATTTGACTGAGAATATTAATTTACCTCATCATATTCACTATTCATAGAATATTTGATTCACCTTTGGGTAAATTCTTAAGTTCTAGAAATAATGAAAATTTATTTTGTCCACTAATTTTTAATTATAGGCATTTCATTAATTTCATGGATAAACTATAATTTTATGTATGCATAATTTCTTAAACATACTAGTTTGGCCACTTTGGTGACGAACAAACTATATGAACATAATTGCGCACATAAAATAAATATCAGAATATTTTATGCATGTGAATATTTTAGACATTCTAGTTTGATCACTTTGGTGACTAGCAAACTATATGAGCATTAATACACGCATAAAATAAACATAAATTTGATGTATGTATAAATATTAAACATTCTAGTTTGATCACTTTAGTGATTAACAAACTATATAATTTTAAGGCACATACATCAATTATTATACAATACCATAATCACAATCAATACAATGAAAGATTTACGTGCAATTACTGCATTCCAAAAACTTTTAGGAATAAAATATTATCATTGAAGTGGTCCAAAATATACTAAGATTGCATGTGTCCATAAGGTGAAATCGCAAGTCATCTTTGTTTAAAAATCACTTTAGTAAGCCAATATGTTGGGGAAAAAAGATGTTGCTACATGTAAACATATGGTTTATGCCTAATTTATATTTATAATTCCACAAAAGCACAAAACTTCAAAGGTTGCCGTTCTCGAAAAGTAGAGACCAAACTCTTTCATAATTTTTGTCAATTACACCCTCTTTCTAATTACTCCATAATCTTAAAAGTAACTAAGAATTAGAGTTCAGCATTATTTTCCACGAACAGAATTTAACGATCATGATAATTATTTAAACTATGATTCATAATTGCCGAAGGCAGCACATGATGTTTAAACAACTACGCATTCATAATTAGTTGTGACGAAGATTATCTGTTCAAGCAATTCAGACCCTGATACCACATGTAAGCATAAACTATAATTCTACCAGGATCTTGAACATGATAATCTTATATGTAATCGTCATAGAAAACATACCTGAAGCGGAATTCATTATCTTGAAGCGGAAGCGTTAATCGGTAAATTGGTTTCTCGCCCCTTGCCCTAGCTTTCGTTACTGCTTCCTTTAGTGATGGAAGAAAGAAAATAAAATACGGTAACCTTAATGGGTGGGAGAGGACCAATTTATAGAGGTTCTCACTTAATCTGGTACGTCCATCAAGTAACTAATCGGACGGATGAGATTTGATAATTAATTAAATATTAATTATGGGCCTTAAACCTATTGGACCACATACACGTAGGAAAAACAGCTTACACTTTCATCATAATGTGCTGGCCTGCTGGGGTTCCAACCCAATATGCGAGAAGTTTATATGTAGGAGCTTCATAATCCAGCATATTATGCTGGTACTTTCCACATTTCAGCAAAACAATGGCTATTGTTCAATGACTTTGCAAACAATGACTATTTTTTGATTATCAGCCCGAAAACTGGCTAGGTAGACTTTACTCTCTGCCTTGTGAATGTAGAGGGACAGTTTTCAATAGACCCTCGGTTCAAGGAAAACATAATTACAACAGTTATGACAAAGAAATATGAAAAATAATATAATCGAAGCAAAATAATCAACAAATAGTGATAGAAACATAAGAATAAGAAATACGATAATAACACTCGTACTGTAGATATGGAAAGTAAATTTAGAAAATGTTGCTCTTCATAATTACTTTCTCTTCATAAAAAATACTCCTCTACTTTATGAAATATTTTTATTTTATTCTCTTTTATATTTTTAGAGATATTCATATTCTTACTATTATCAAATTGTCTCGTACCACAGTTATAAGTAAAAAAGGATGAATATGGACTTTTCTTCTGAAGTATTTTGACACACAAGATCCACCCAGAGTCGACATTGGAGCTTTATTAAACTTAATGGTACTTTCAAAAATAATTAATATTAATGACAAATAAAAATAATAATTAATTCTATCTTAATTCTCTAAAATGACAAGTATTTTGGATCAAACTCTTTTAGTAACCATGACAAAAGGGGAGGGGGGGGGGGGGGG